AAATAATGTGAACTTGGATCCTCTACGTAGCAAAATCCACACCAGAACTAGCTATAGCTATCTATTGGTCATATCGTATCATTACTAATCTCTGTTTTGGTTTTGTTATATATGTACATGTTTAGTTATTATTGTATATTCATATATTTTAAACAAAAATCAAACCCTGCACGGTGTTATCATTATTTTTATCCCTTATGTATCACTAATTGCCAAACGCCCCTATCCCTGTCTTATAAGCTCCTACACCACGAACACCATATTTGGATGCAATCACCTACAGTCACATGATCACCCTTACCATCACAATCATTCAAACTCAAGGACCTGCAAATTTTGTCTTCACTTCACCAATACAAACGATGAACAATAAAGTGCGTAGTGTTGGAATGTCCCGCAAACAACAAGACCTTTGGTGGGATAATTTGACTAATAACATGTATAGTATAGTTACATCCTTTCACTGTGTAATTGGTTATTTTCAGTTATTTCGTAATAATTTGTTTTCCTCTTGGTCTCACATTATTTTCCGAACTCCTCTAAACTCTCCTTCCTTCTCTTCTTCAAATTATATCTACATGCACCCCCTCTTAAAAAACCCTGCTGAAGAAAACTGTTAGGTCGAAACGCATACCCCTGTACGCTATTCCTGCTCAATTTCAATCTCTCTCTTATATCCTCGCCTTTGATCGTTCCCATAAAAATTTAACCTATTTTATTTTCTACGGCCGTGATTTAATCGTAGTTCTCCTAGTTTTTTTACGTACATGTTCAGCCTAGGAGTCGGAGTAAAGATATAAATAACAACCATTTTTGGAATTATATTGCTCCTCCAATCAATTTAGGCTACAGGGCCGTAGGAAGCTCTTTTTGATTGGGGGGCTGAAAGCGAGGGCCGAAGGCCCGAGGGAATTTTTAAATTTAGAGTCTCTGAAATGCCATTTCCTGGACCCTGCAGCCCCCCGGTTGCTACATACGGCCCTGGGCTACACGCGGAAATGCACCGAATGGCAAATAAGGATCATCACTCGAAAGTCTTGCTCGATATTTTTTTTGTCCGTTTATTCTTGCACGATATTTTTTTTAAGTTCGAATTGCTTGCCCGATATTTTTTTTGGGATTCTACCCACCCCCCCATCAAAAATCAAATGGTCCGTCCCTTAAGTGCGACTAAACACGAATAAAATACACCATTAATCCTACTTTAATAGCATATTAAAGGTGCGCTTTTCGTCCTGTGATTTTTATAGCCTTTACAGGATTAAAAACACCATGGGAAAACTCCCACAAATTGTTTACAGGTTAGCAAATGAATTTTTAAAATTTAAAATGGTTAAAAATATATATTTTTGAAAAAATACCCGGCCGAAAGAGCGAAGATAAAAACATAAACAAAATAGAAAAATATTGAAAATATCCGGAAAGCAAAGTCTGTGAATTCAGACCTTGTGTATATAATATCAGCTCATATTCGACTCGAGTTCGTAGAATAACTGTTAAATAGCGTCATAACAGGGGTCACACAATATTTTTTATCTACAACCACTAATAATTTTGCGCTCAAACCGATACTCTGTCTGCCCTTCCAAATATCAAATCACTCAAAACCTTTAATACATCTACCAATCAATATTTGGTCAGCAACGAATACTTTTATATGGTTAATCCTTGTTGTGACGTCAACAAAAAACTTATCCGAGATGGCGGACATCTCGTACTTCAAGTGAAAATATTTCAAGAACTAAGCAGGATATAAAAAATTGGTAAAATAAGTTAATATATAGTTTCAAAAATTCTTTCAAATGAGAAAATAAAAATTTATATTGCCATTTCCCTTTAAGGTCGGAAATTGAATAATGTTTTGTACAACATATAGTGGTTTAATACTTACACTTCAAGCTTGAGCTAAGTGTTCATGATTTAAGTACAATCTCGATTCAGAACGATTAAGTTTGGATTGCTTATTGACCAATGAAATTAAGTTTTTTTACAGCTAAGAGGTATCCTACAACAAGGCCGTCGGAAATCAATCAATATTGAGGAGGCTCAAGAATAAATCTGAATATATTCTATCAGAATTTATAAATCTGAATTGCTTTCGCACTTTTCTAGTTCTTTTGTGTGTTTTTTTCTCATACAAATAGAAATTATTTGGGGGGGAGGCTCAACTCCCCCCACTCATCCCCCCGCTTCCGACGTCCTTGTATAATGTCGTAGTTTTGTTTAAAACTAATCCCAAAACCCCCAAAACATTTAATGTTAACAATACAATATAGATTTAATTATAATTACAATACTGTCCTAGACTAATGTCCATCCCGTTTCTCTCGCGCATGACCTTTTTTGTCATGTGACATTCGTCATAATATACAGTATCTAGTCATAGTTTGTAACTTCCTAATTCACTAATGCAAGAGTACTTGATTTTCATGCATCAGTATTAATAATACGAGCAGAGTTGCGATATTCATAACACAACCATAACATTCCAAATAACCAACAATGTGCGAGAACAGCACAAGTGTATATCATTGGCATTTTAGCAAACGTTGCCCCCGCTGTAAGTCGACTAAGAAGAGCTCCTAAATGCACTGCAGTGAACGTGAGACTTTGATAGAACGAAGTACTCTTTACTGGTGTGATTTTTGACAACAAGGACGATGCTAGGGGAATGTTTAAGAACTGGGCGTTTAGAAATAACATCGAACAAAAGAGAAGATAACTTTCATTGACCGACATCGTGTTGTTCCAAGAAAGACCAAAGTAAAACGTGATTGTAATTGGGATCACCTGAGCAAAGATTGTGACGAAAAGAAAAATACTTTCGGATATATTTTCCAAGAAGAGAGAGGTAGCGACGAATAAGATGAAAACAAAGAAAGTACTATTAATGTAAATTAACTTCACATAACTAAGTCCCAATCCAAGATGGTATTTTGCCAATAATGGAACATAAAATGAAATGACCAGATAGACAAACAAAGATAAACAAATTAGATAATATAGACAAAAAACCATTGAGGATGGAGGACAACCTTCAGCGACTGATTTAGACAAGCTAATATCATCCTCGCTGTCTTCTTCAACCACGTCCTTGTCCGATGTTTCTGCAAGAACCATTGACAAGGGAGTAGAACTATTATTGCTATCAACAGTTATTGAGTTAGGCAAGGCAGGATCATGGCCATCTTCATTCTCAATAACTGAGGTCTCATTGCTGGAGTTTTCTGCAAGATCACTTTGTAAAAACAGTGCCAACAATAGTAAGGCTAACCATATAAATATCAACATGAAGCCTGGTGAGTTACCTGTGGAATAGAAAAAGAAAATACAAAACCAACCCACTTGTATTGTTGCATGAAGTTTATATTGAATTTGATAGAGATCCTGAAATTTCAATAAGCTTAAAATACAAGACTTTACAAGATTTCAACAAAAACATGCAACAAAAGCCGACTTTATATGCAAAACCGATTACAAAGCTGATTTCAAGGCTAATAAAATATTATAAGTTAGTATTAGAAATACAGTAATTATTAGAACTAATTTTTAACTACTCTGGCAATTTAGCCTTTCCACTACAGTTCCAACATGTTCATGAGGGGCCGGTTGTTCGAAAGGCGCTTAAGTCGCTAACCACCGTTTAGCTGACTAGCCACCGAATACAAAATTTAACATTTGATAATTTGCGTTGCACAAAGCCCGTTTAGCGCTATCCACCGGTTAAATTTCGGCCATCCAGCGGATAAAGTTGAACGGTCTTGTGTGTGTTGAAGTACACACAAGGGCCAAGGCACACCGGCGTCACTTGCTCACTTTAAATAATGCCGTCGCTTTGCTATATTAGGACATTGCATTTTTCAAATTTCAGATTTTTAGTGAACTTTTAGCTTCCCCTAGCTGGGGATTTTTTTTTTTTTTTGGGGGGGGGGCTATTGTAAATTCCGATGTCCTCCATAAGGGGTCACGGGAGTGGTTTAAAAATGTCTGTGTTTAGACGTTAAGTATTCTTACTTTTATCTCCTGTTTTCCTTCCACTGTTTAACAGTGGTGCCTAAATTGCTTTGAATTTGTACTCGAGTAAAAGTAGAAGTAATTAAGAAAAAAACGACTTGAGTAAGAGTAAAACGTACTGGAGGCAAAACGTACTAAGTAAAAATTGCAAAGTATCCTAACAAAATACTTGAAGTAAAAAGTAAAAGTATATACTGTTGTCTGTAGCGTGTCGGGGGGAGACTTCTCCAGTGGATTGACACACAACCCCCCCCCCCCACACAAAACAGCACACGCATTATACAACTGATTCAAGAAAGATTATCCATTGCAAACCTTAACTCTAAACGTACAAAGCATAATGGGAGGATTGGGAGCAACATTTAATCAGTTTAGAAATAATACATAGGGCCCATTTCTTAGAGACATGGCAAATATCTCCTTACGAAAACAACTCATTCACAATTAGCTGCAATATTCAACTACTAAGTATGAAACTTGTGCTCCCATTAAGCTTTGCGCGCTTAGAGTTAAGGTTTACAGTTTAAGGTTTTGCAAAGGACAACCTTTTTTGAATTACCTGTGGTATACGTGCACCTAATGTACAATATTTCACGCCATGTTCTAATTTACAGACCCCATCGAAGTTATAGAAATTCATTAAATAAATAATGGTTATAAGTTAGCCACAAACGAGAGAACCCAGACGCATGTAGAGGTCCTATTACTTATCCCAAAAGTAAAATAAATCAGGAATAAATCACGTAAATTAAGCAAAAGTTAAAAATATGTACGCTTAGCGTACATGTACCTGCTCATGCTAATTGCATAGTTGTCAAGGAGTTCAGTCAATACTCGGTATAGTAGCACTTGTAAAAATATTAAGAGACTGATGTTTAATTGAATATGTTTTTTCTATAAACATGACAAATATATATAGTTGACTAGTGAAATGATCGAGGTTAGATTTATAGCATGTCAGAAAAAAAAAAGGGCTGATATATATTCAACTTGCAGAAACTAATTCCAGCCATAACTTCGCAAAGATGATGTTCAGTTCTATGAGACAATCTCCACTAAAACCGAGCAAAATCGAGAATACGTGGTACATGAGGAAAAATAAAAAATCTTCTTATTTTCTCCAGTTATACTCTAATGTGTACTCAGGTTTATTTTAAACGCCGAAAACACGATTATTTTAAACGCCGAAAATTATCAAAACCTCACACATACCCGAGATTCGCGAAATTAGCAAAAAAAAATTGTGAGCCACGGCCTCTTGAAAATAGTAATCAAAACAAAACACGAGTGGAAATAAGGTAAAAGTAATAAGTAGATGTTGTCAATGTCTGCTATAGACAGGCAAGGACAGATGGAATCATAGACAATCCAGAAGACATGTCTATGATGGCACTAAACATAAGAAAAGCTGCGTTCATTAATGGCAGAAGGGTGAACAGTGCCAAGTTTGGATATGAGGCGCATTTCATGTCGTTTGCGGCTATCGTTGCTTCCAGAAATGGGACAGAGGGCTCGAATTTCCATATCTGAAATATTGTGATTGCTATCATTAAAATGTCTGGCAACAGGTTGGTTAGCATCATTGGGAGGAGGAGCACGTGAAATGATGCTTGATGTGAAATTCAGATTTAGGTGCCGAAACAATATAGTTCGCAGGCGTGTCGTTGCATCTTACCCATTTCTAAAAAAGGCCTACGGAGGGGGTCGGGTTCCATGCAGCTATTATAGGCTATTCTATCAGAAAATTTCGATGCAAGTCGACGCAAAAGATTAACTGGACCGAAATCTGGCCACAAAATGTACTAGTTCGCATCTCTGGCTTGTCGTGTAGTTCTTTTTGCGCTATAGTGTAGGAAGGGATTATACGGCTGTCATTCGGCAAGGTCATTTGTCTTGCAGTCAGCAAGATGCCTCGGGCGAGACTACAAATAAGACAGCATAGAATGGGTGTAAGCATTTCTAACTAGCATTCGTCAGTTAAAGATTTTTCTAGAGTCGATTTTTGGTGGAGATATCATCAACATTATACAAGTGACTAAAAAAATGTCAATTGTTATGCACTAGTACCTGCATTGATTTTCCAACCATATATATCCATGTTGAAGGTCAGAGCGCTACCCAATGTTGGGCCACACATAGTACCAAGACTGTAGAGTGCTTCAAGATATAGGAATGCTTTGGCACGATTCTTATCGGTAGTTCCTTTAGCAAGAACGCTGAACAAAATTCCATCTGTAGCTGCACCTAGACCAGATATCAACCTTCCAAACATTGGAAAGTATCCATTGATAGGAATTGAGTACAATAAATTACCAAAGAATCTCACAAAAGCACAAGAAACAGTGATCAATTTTGATGCTTGAAATTTATCATCGATAACTCCAACAAATGGCGCGAATAACAAAGCCCCAGCAGAATAAGCTGCCAAGGTTAATCCAAGGAATAGATCTGACTCTCCCAAATTCTTTAGTAATACCAAGCAGTTGGTTGGATTAGGAATTCCTCCACACCTTCCGTGAACAGGCGAAGTGATAAATAGAAGAAGACAAAGTTCTTCAGTGATGAGAAATTTAGCGTGAAACCCATAACTCTATAAAATGAGCAATAATAATTGTTCGAATTGCAATACTTCGTAACTATATCAGGGTCAGGCCCGGAGCTACGGGGGGGTGTGGGGGGTGTGACACCCCCCCCAGTAATTGTATTCAGTCGGCAGGACTGCTATTCAGTCGGTAGGACTGCTATTCAGTCGGTAGAACTGCTATTTGGGTTAAATATTTTTGGCGCAAAGGGAAGAACGTGGTGGGAATTTTAGGGAAATTTTGAGGAAAAATGTAAAAATTTTGGAAAAATGTAAAAAAATGTTGAAAATTTGTTATGTGCGGAAAATTTTGGAATGTTCCGGAAAATTTTTGTACGTCCGGAAAAATTTTTGGACCCCTAAAATGGTACACTGACCGAAAAATTTTTGTTCCTGAAAAATTTTTTTTGAACCAGTCGGTTGAATTGACCTTATTACACCCCCCCCTGAAGAATTTTCTGAGGACGGCCCTGATCAGGGTTACATATTTTCAAACTATACTATTTGTCGGCAAACAGCTTGAAAAAATTGCTTAATTAAAAACTAGGCATAGTGCGGTAAATTGAATTGAATGATGACTCCTTCACGTGTATCGATAGGGAAAAAATCCGCACAAAATTTCTTTTGGAATATGGTATTTTTTTAATTTTCAAGCTTTTAATCTTTCATGTTCAACTTGTTTTGAAAAGTAAAAGCGATTTACATTTACTTACATTTTGAGGGATTTTATAATGTACTCTATCGCATTTATCACAATGTACTCTATCACACTACCATATAGCCAACATTAATAATGACACAAAACGTTGAAGCTTATTTTCTCAATATGTCATTTGTAGGGCCTGTCCGAATTTGGTTTTGTGATTTTTCAATTTAAAACCTATACAAGCTATTGACCTGAAATTTTCGCTGAGCACTGCAGAGTCTATTAGTTGTGCAGTAGTGAGCTATGGATATTTTGCTCAATCAATGTAAGGCATTTTTCTTTATCATTATATTGGGGATGCTAGATAATTATATACTAGTCCTCTCTCCTCCGCAGAGGCTTACATGAAGTTTCTAGTGAGGGAAAAGCGAGCGCGCAAGGAGTGATGGGAAGAGCTAAATAAAGGAAGCCTCTGGGAGTTAATGCAATCAATATGGCGTCGTATATAATCGTTTGTAGCGAAGTTCGATCAACCATCGAGGGTGTTAAAACATGTTTTCGACTTTCATTTTCAGGCGTACTTGAGTATCCTGGGGTGAATTAAATATCAATAATTATCTTCTTCCGTCCATTTGCATCGAAAAATATTGAGAAATTGCAAACGAATATCAATGGATACGAGCTATCTGATTATAAATATCCTCTTAATTGCAACATTTCGTTATAAAAATGACTGTTTTGTTTGTTTTAACAGCTTTATTGAACGATGTTCAAACGGCAAGAGCGCGAACGGGACTCGAGAACCATGCGAGGCACTCTCCCTCTTGAATTTTGTTTACATCTAATATCATTATTTACGACAACATTATAAATTGGTAAACATATACCAGCTGATTAATATCAAATTACGACGGCAATTGCACCACATTCAAGTGCGTATAATACAAATCTGTATAATCATGTTAAAAATTAAAATTCGAAAGCTGAATCAGGATAAAACAAAACCTAACACGAAGAGCTGGTATATGTTTACATCAGAATTAATTATTTCTATGGCATGAACAGCTACGATACATGTATACACCACATGTATACACCACATGTATACACCACATGTCAACATCAAAACTACTACTTAATAAATTGAAGTATGTTCTTGATAAGAAGTATTTAAACGTTGCCAAACTGCGAATGCCGGGCAAATGCCCCCCCCCCCAAATTATTTTTTGCCCCCCCCCCATTTTGCCCCCCTCAAAAAAAATTATTAGTCACTAAGAGCGACTAAAGGCTACACAAGCGTTCTGTCGTTATCGGAAAATGTATGGCTTATAAGTTGTCATTACTCATTAGTGAATGCGCGTATACATGAAACTGTTTTTTACAGTTTCAATATTAGTTTGTAAATCTCTGAATGGTAAAACTTGCCAATACTCCAATAATACGTTTCAAAAAAAGACAAAAAGCTTTAGTTTTGCAGAGTTAAATTCTCAAACGTGTAAGGCAATAATAAGATGAAAGTATCACGAAATTATTTGAATAAACCACATCGCATATATGGGGGGCGAATGTCCTAAAAAGGGGCGATATTCCTAGGGTATTCGCCCCACCCCCTGGGAGGCGATATTCCTAGGATATTCGCCCCCCCCCCCGGGGGCAATATTCCTAAGAATATCGCCACGTTTTGAGGGGGGGGGCGAATTTCCTGGTGGGGCGACCTTTTTAAAAATTCTATCTTGCCCCCCCCCCAAATTTGAGTTTGCCCCTCAAATGCCCCCCCAAATTTGGAAGCCTGGCGCCGCCACTGGCTTTAGTGTCAGACGCACTAGTCTCATGCAATTTACCCAATTGGTTACTGTAATAAGTATGCTACTTCTGCTGAATTAAAATATTTTCATTCCATATAGATTCTTCCATGATGAAATAAGCTATATACAGTATATATCGAAAAACATATATTTCCTATAAAGACACCTTAAATTAATAAGCACGGAAAATGTTACAGTATTGTATGTAATCTCTTGAAACCTTGTCTTGCTATTAGAACTCAGACTTTGAAAGTCGAAAGAGTGAAAAAGAATAAACGTACTCCTAACAGGTGGGAAAACAACCTCGCAAGCCAGGGTCTTTTACCTGCGCTCGGGCTCCGGCGAAGACCCTGGTTCCCTCTGGTCACGTGAGCTCCTAAAAATTAGGGCAACAAGAGGTCCTAGGGGAGGGTGGTTGAAATGTGATATCTTGTAATTTACAACTTCCGGTTTAATGTTGTGTTTTCAAGGCCCGCCAAGGAGTGACTGTGCTATGAGAAGTGACTTCAACTGTAATATGCAAAAACATTCAAAATGTGTTATTTTTCTTATTTGTCTGCAGTTTTCTATATTTTGTATGCAAACACTATTTTGAAGCCCAAGCAGGTTATTTGCTTGGAAAAGCTGTCCTTTGGTGTGTATATACTGGCAATTTTTCCAACCGGTAATATGGCGAGTCGCTGATTTACCAGCTTTTGCCTTTGATACTTTTCGCTAAAAGAGCGTTAGGAGAATGTCCAACTCATGGCGTTTGTGTAAATGAGTAATGCTGCTCGTTACAGTATATCGCGAACGCGCCTTTGATAAACAATCCAGCTCGAAAATTATGTGCGATAAAACTCAGAGTATCAGCAATAAATGTTTTTCAGCAGCCATTAAAATGTCACAACGAAGAGATTGATTGCGATGTAGCTGAAATTGACCAAAAGACAAAACTAATTCTACACGTTACTTTTCAATCCATTATATTGTTATCTCAATTTTGTTCACTTTATGCCAAACGTAGTATATTGCGTGTTAATAACGTACCATGCAGTCGTTATTGCATGACTGCTACAGCATATAAACTTCACCGAATGCCCATGCATAAAAGAATCACTTGGCTTGAATAATTGCTTTGAGTTGGTTGCAAATTCTAAGCGAAAGAATATCTTTTACGAAAAGGCATTCAGATACAAGCACTGATATTGATGCCTTGGCGGACATTTGCAGACCAATTTATGCTGTAGTGTATGCAAAACACAATGACAATATTTATGTGTCGAGTGTAGTTTCGATATGAAAAGGGAATGCTATTACCTGATTAGACAAATATTTTTGGGCCTGTGAAATATTCTTGACTTTGTACCAAATGAATACACAATTAATCACAAATGTGAATTTTGTTGAACTCAGTTTTTTTAAAGTGGGCACAAGTTGCACTCTCTCATATATATGTCATTATTTGCATATATAAACTCAATTTACTTCATGGACAGTATACAAAAACCCATACAGCAGTGCCAGAACAAAATTCTAAATTGAATATATATGTCATATTTATACAGTATACTGTACCCATACAGCTATTTCAATTAAAGATGTCACAGACAATAGTCAGATGTACAATAATATGAGTGCTAAATGAATAATGGGAATAATGATAGTTTTCAATAAGTTTAAACCTCAAATATATTATGAATACCAATTTAATTTGTATTCCCGTGAGGCTATTGATGTGTTAAAATAGGATCTTTTTTAGCGTTCAATTGTACATTTAACTATTGTCTGTGACACTAACCTTAATTGGAATAGTTGCATTATAACATAGGACAAGTGCAAATTGTGCATCTATTAATCCTTTCAAGCTAGGGTAGTCTTGGTAGCCTGTGCTACAGCCATACATTTCATTGTTGCTTATTCGTGCAAGTGTTACAGAATACAGTATTCACAGTCATAATTCCTCTTCATCTTCTGATGTGTTGTCCACTGGTACGCGTGCTTGGTGAATGTTCCTCTTGTGTTTGTTTAGCTATAGTCATCAAATGCAGCGACAATTCGTTTATAATGTTGCTAATGTATCTGATGATATATCTGTGAAGAAACCTTCATGAAAGTGATCATATACCGTATTGTTGATTGCAAATGGTTTCAATTCCAAGAGATCAGATAAAATAACATTTTCTCCGAAGATTTGTGCTTGTGAGAGGATGCCTTCTTGACTTAATTCCTACAGCTATGTCGAAGTTGTTTATCATTTCTGCAGATCGATATTCCTCCAGTCGCTATATGCATACTTTAATATTAAACATTCGATTGGCTTCACTGTCTTGGGTGTTTTTTTGGACCCCATTCTTTTAATTTAATGTTAAGTTTAGGAAGATAAGAAAATCCGTCATCGGTCATCACACGCACGAGTTCCACAATTCACAAATTCTGCGATACGAAGCAGGTTTTTATTTCGCTATTCAGCTAGCTCTAAGAATAGGTTGTTGCAATACTACTTGTCGATAATACTACCACAAAGGCGACACTTGCATTCCGAAAACAAAGCGGATTTCGGGTAAATAATCTTTGGA